CGGTTCAGACGCGCAAGTTGGCTTCCGAAACAACATCGAGGTTTCATGAGTGGCTTCACATTCAGACCGTGTTTGCACGCTACACTTAGATCGATTAACTCGAGGTCCGCCGGTGGGTCCTTTGACAATGTGATTAACATAACACAGAATTCGTTGTGAATATTACTTCTAATTCGAAGAGCAGTCGGAGTTGAGATCCGCTCATAACGGGGCAGCGAATTCAAAACACAAAGTTGGTTGCTTTGATGGCACGCGAGGAAAATCTGTTGACTTTACTTTCCAAAAATGACAGTTTCTCAAGCGAGGAAGAAATATATTTGCTTTGATCTTTGAGGGAAAATGTTTCGTTGTTTTGTTGGTAACTATGATGACATTTATGCAAAGCAAAGTATTTGTCCTAAGATAACCGAACATATTTTTATTTTTCTATTTTATTAAAACTTAATAAAATAGAAAATTTTAATAAAATAACGTATTGCACATACCCCCACGTACGTAACATTTCCCTATCAGATAAAGTATCTCTTTATCGTCTTGTATGATAATTTACTATTTCTTTTTAAATTTTAAAACCTGTTAGCTCGCTTAGAAATTAGTTAGACTAATACTCAAATTGTTTTAATCTGAATAATTTCCAAATGTTCATTAATGCGCGTTCTATGAGACGAAAAGCAGAAAAAAAATAAAAAGTAAATATTGATGATAAACAATCTGCAATTTGAGATGCACTGCGATGAATTACTTCATTAAAAGGTCTGAATAACAATGTTAGCTTAAAAAGAAAATTTAAGAGCAATGAAAAGTTTACATAGAAAATAGAAACATCGAGATACCATTGATAAAATGTATTTTTATTAAATTTATTTCAATTAAATTACGTTCTAGATTAGATTTAAAGACAAAAGGTTTGTCAAATTTTTTGTCCTCCCCAACATCAAAAATTCTCCAGCTTTTTTCCATTTCGGAGAGGTGGCAACCCTACTGCGATATCTGCCCCGCAAGCCGTCACCGAGATGAAACCTGGCAGGGGCGAGTCGCCGCATCTGCGCTTTTCCAGCCGGGCAGGCACCGGCGGCGCGAGGGCGGCGGCACCGCCGCATATGGCGCCGGTCGCGGCTGTTACCACCGCAGCCGCGGCTGCTGCTGCTGCGGCCGGCTGATCCGGGCGGATTAGGGCTTAATTCTTCGCCCTCTTCCCGATCGCCCGCGGCCGCAGCCCGCCGCCCTCCCCTTCTCTCCCTCACGGGCGAAGCAAAGCAAACATCGCGGTGCACACTTCACAGGACGCGGCCAGCGCCGATAGTTGCTGCAGATGGAAGCCCCGGCGGAAACGGAGGGGGGGAGGTGACGTGGCGGAAGTAGCAATGGCAGCAACTGAGCGGTTCGCGGTGATCCAGGAGGCGACGATGTTGCCCTACACCGAGTGATGCCAATGGGCTAAGCCAGATCGCGCGATTCCGGATGAATAGGTCCGTGCTGCCCCGGCGTCCCTCGAGGCCCTCTCGCTCGTCACGAGAGCAGCTGCCGCGGTTGCAGTTGACGAGATGACTGTGTGTGGGCGCCAGAGCTCCCTAGGAGCACGATGAATTACTACATCTTTAGCCTACCACATGCTAAATAAAAACTAGGGGTGCGATGTAGTACAGACTTTCTCGCTCTCTCTGCAATTATTATGTAAAAAGGTACTAATTATTTTGCAACTATTTACTTCTATTGTGTTCCTAAAAATGTAAGGAACACCACAAAATATCATGCTCTGTGCTGGTGCTTCCACCTGATATAGCTTTGAACTAGCATTGCCGCTATCAATGGAGTGGCACTGTCCGGATGGTATGATATCCAACGGTAGTGAACTTCGGAAACTACACAGCTAGATCCAAGCCAGCCACTGTCTCGAAAAGAATTATATCGGCCAGTACCTTTCCGTTGCTGCTTCTTTCAATACTACATTAATGCCGGAACCGTATCCTAACAAATGGATCACGGAACACGAGCGATGTTTCTTTCCTCTTCCTTGCCCACTTCTTACACCTTACTCACACAGTTACATTTACAAGAACTTGTTTGTTTTTTTTGTGCCCACGGCACAGGTCTACGTTTTATTTTTTAAACACCTTCTTGCTTCCCCCTGTTGGAGAGCAATTCGGGGATGGCGATTGCATCTTTTAACACGATCGAGCACCTGTTCATATTGCACGGCCTGTGGCGGGGTGGTTACACGACAATACCGTCCCTGTAATGGACTGGCCTGCACAGAGTCCTGACTTGAATCCTATCGAACACCTTAGGCATATTTTGGACCGCGACTTCGTGCCATGCCTCACCGACTTACAACGATACCTCTGTTAAGTACGGAAGTCCGCGAAGAATGGGCCGCCATTCCCCAAGAAACCTTCCAGCACCTGATCAAAATTATGCCTGCGAGATGGAAACTGTCATTAAGACTAAGAGTGCGCCAACACCCTATTGAGTTCCAGCATTACCAATGGAGGGAGCCACGAACTGGTAAGTCATTTTCACCACGTGTTTGGATACTTATGATCACATAGTGTATATTTTCTAATTTGTCCTAATCTTTTCTCAGATGCCATCTATAGGCGTCTAAATGTCATTTTTTCAGTTTTCGGTCTTCTAACAGTAAAATTGAAATATAACTTCAAGAATACTACAAAATAATAAAACCTGGTTCTATATCTAAAAAGCACTAAAATTTGTCTTTGAATAGTGCAAAATGCATTGAATAAATATGACATTAAGGACATTTTGATTTAATTTCTTGATTGTTTTCTAAATTACACAAAGGTAATTTTTTATCTCTCTCACGTCATTAATATGTTTACATTGAAGATGATTTATGTGTTTGTAAATTTGTGAATATAATTACTTTAAATTTTTAATAAATTTTCTCGAAAACTGAAAATTTTCTGTGAAAATAAACTCAAATTAGGGCATATTCAGAAACGCTTAAAGAACATTTTCCCAAAAACCGAACCAAATCTTTCAACAAAACTTGGCGTTTATGACCGACTTTAATCCGTCAATAATATTCTTCACTCATGTGTCAGTTCTTACGTTAGGACATCAGAAATTGAGAAAATATAAAAAGTTGCCCAAAAATTCTAGATGGCTGCTGGGAAGAGGGCGAGACTAAACCGAAAACATAGCCCAGACTAAGGAGGTTAGAAAATAACTTAGTACAAGGACGTCTGTACCGTTTTGTGTCACCACTAGTTTTTCACGATTTTAATAACGTCCACCGATAAATTGATACCGTACACTTTGGTTAAAGATTTCAAACTGCTAATCATTTTTTTAAATATGCGTGCTTAGTTTTTTTGGTAAAAATTCCGTAGGTTAACTTATATCGGCACCTCAAGAATCTTCATAATATTGCATCTTTTACTTACATGCTTACAAATGGAGGAAATTAATTTAATTTATTTTAATTTTCATCAAACTATCGTCAAATTTAAAACTGATAGTAGATCAAAAGTTGAAAATACCAATTTTACTAATTTTGGTTATAAATACGTCGTACTATGTTAAGTACAGTATGCTCTCTCCACTTCAGTATTTTATGAAGGAAAATGCGCAAATATTTAAGGAAGACATTTTGAAGAATAGAATAGACACGCATTTCAACTTTACCGTGATTAATTTGAATAAAAATGAGCTAATTTTATCAAGTCATTCCTATAACTCATTTTATCTCCATGCACGAAAGTGTGAAGAAATGTGTCTCTTCAATCGAACAAAGAAGCTCATGAGCCGTCTCAAATTAAGTAAACGCTGGCAGGGACGCGGACAGTCGGTCCACCATCAATCTCCCTTTTAGCACGCAGCAGCGCTCCAGCCGTGTCGCGACCTCGGCAACACATCAGCGACTTGTAAAACTCCCCCCGTCCACGCCGCATCTGTTCCGCGCAGCTTCGCGGAGGTCGGCAGGCCGGCCGGCAGACACAAAACACGCGGGCGCCCCCGCCCCCGACCGCTCGGCTGCTGCTGCTGCTGCTGCGGCGGCGGCGGCGTCGTCTCACATGAAGTGTTGCTCGACCGCAGCCGCCAGGGGCAGTATGCGAGAGGAGGAGGCGACGCCCCACAAAACCTCTGTGTCGGCGTGGATTAATCTCAGTTTGCGTCACGGCCGTCGCCGCCACCCCGCGCGCGCTCTCCATGGCGTTGTCCCAGCCATCGTCTTCCCCTCTGGGGATTGTCTGACATCGCAGTCCTCGTCTGGCTCATCGAGGTTGTACACACAACTCACCGTTCTCCAAATCTTTGATTCTCGTATGTTCCTATGTTTCCCGCTCATTTCAATCAACTTTCGTATGTATCTATACTGTTCGTCTCCCCACCCCCACCCATTTACATCCTTT